CAAATGCCTTAACCACTACACCACCAGAGCTCCTTCTATAAAACCAAAGAGAGGTGTAAAAGATCAAGACATGCAATACTTCAAAATGAGCAATGATATTGCTTTTGTGTGAAAATGATATAATGCAAATTTAATAATGTCGAAAGTGCAATACAGATGTGGTTTCCTTTCTTCTGGGTCCATAAAATTAAGTTTTTTTCTGATACCATAACACACAAACATGACTAGATGAACTCTCAAGACATCTGGATGGGATATTTGAAATGGTCTCACTTCAAATATGAGCTTTGTTGAGTACATGAAATTCCCTCGGGGAAGTCCCAAAGGACCCTCAGTAAACCGGGCAGTCACCTTCCAGCCCAGCTGAAAGTGAGGGTCTGGAGGTGGCCAGGCACCTGCTAATGAGGAAACACCACCATAGATATGGAAAACAGACCGAGCTTCAACATGAGTCCCCCACGGAAAGATACTTTGGAACTGTAGGCAGGGACTGTGTTTCACATGACCAACTGCGTCTGTCTGCCAGGAGGAACAGGGAGCAGGAAATGGGAAATAGGACCAGGAGCAGGAAATAGTTCCTGATTTTCCCAGGGTACACAGACAACAGTAATGTTGGTCTAGTCCCTGATACTTCCTAGTCTGAATATACATATTATCACTCATCCATTTGGGTGGGAGCTGCTACTATTTTATAGTTTGTGGCCCAAGCCTCGCCTCCGTGACTCTAAGTCCTACATAACACCTGCTTCATGCACCTCTCAGGTAGCTGCAAAGCTCCACCATTAACCAAACTTCTTACTTCATAGCATTCCTCCCTGTCTTCAGGGATTCCTAGCATTTCAAAGTTGGCAGGTTTCTTAAAGAGCAGCAGTCCAATCCTCTAACCTGGCAGGTGTGACCCCTGGGGCCAACAGGTGATATCCTTTGTTCAAGGCCACTCAATAAGTTAGTGGCCAAGCCTTCAGATGTCACGTCCAGCTTTGTCTACTACACCATCTTGATTGATGTCCATGTTTACTTACTGGGTGACCTATTATGGTTATTCCTGGTAAGTCAATGATTCTCTTCCAGGTCTCCTTGGGGAAGTGTTGCTTCTAGGGCTCTGAGACTTTCTACTTAGACTAAGTTCAATAGAAATATGATTGCACTTTATTATTGATAACACAGAGGAGCACAGAAGCATAATCAGCTCTGGTACAGGGTGAAGAGAAGCAATGAGGAGGGGAAAAGGAAAAAGATTTGCAAATGATTCTGCAGTGAAGTATTAAAATAGCTGCTCTGTGGCCCTTTCACTGTCTTCTGAAAACTAGAAGTACCACGTAACCAAGATGGTTCTCTACACAGGGGACACACCATTCTGTTGTGATCATTCTGATCTTAGCTGAGATGGTAAAATAGAATGTGAGCACCGGAGGAGAAAGCAACTGACCATGATATCATCTCTGCATGATAAAGATGTTCAGGCTGGGGAAGGAACCTGAGCAATCTCAAATGTCAAAACCCCTGAGAATGCCTTCTCAGACCTTCCCTACTGTGGTGGTTATGTTTGTGTGTCAACTTGGCTGGGCCTGGTTGAGTGGCTGGGCAGCTGGTGGTAGTTATTCCTCATGAAGATACTGGCAATCAACTCCATGGTGGTATCTACCACAAGCAGCTGAGTAGCTGCTTTGGGTATGTGGTCTGCTTCCCATATATAGAAGCAGCTTTGGGAATGGTCTCTAGCTTATGGCATATTTGGACACTGCATGTAGCCATGTCATTGTTAAGCAGCCTGCCATGCTCTGCCAACCTTGGGACTTACAATGGACTTGAATTAATGGCCTGCAGTGTGATTTGGTAACATCGGGACTATGCCATTTTATTTGTCGACCTTGGGCTCGTTAGCCTCAGCAGCCAGTAGCTGCCTGAGTGAAGAGATGTCTCTAACTTCTGTGGACTGGGAGCAAGAGGCAGAGCTGAAGCCTAAGGTCGAGGGGTTTTCACCCAGCCCCTAGAGCCTGGCACTTTTAACTTGGACTTAAAACCTCCAAACTGTGAGTGAAAATAAACTCCTATTTGTTAAGGCCATCCCATTTGTGGTATAATCTTGTCAGAGTGGTACTAGATAACCAGAACACCTACCAAACCAACCTCCAAGAGAGACAGCCTCTTCTCTCACCCCCTCACCTATATTGCCTTTCATTCTGCTACTTTTAGCATCAATGTCACTGCCTCCAGAAGGCCTCCATAGATGACATTAAGTGTCCCACTGTATGTTCAGATGGTACCGTCACTCCCTTATATCAGGCTGGTCACACTTCATACTTACTGTATAAACCTTACTGTCTCATGTCCATCTCTATGGCCAGCCTCTAAACTTAGTGAGGGAAGGATGGCCATGTCCACATTTGTTGAATGAGTTAACGTGCCATAAAGTTTCTGGCTAGCCAGCCCACTTGTACCTCAGTCACTCATTTTACTAAAAGAAACCAACTGAAGCTTTCCTTGATGAATGGAAATAGTTTAATTTCCAAGAAGTGAAAGACTAGCGTGTGCCAGGTTTGACCAGTGAAAATGAGAAGTTAGCATTGACACAATTTCTCCGAGTTTGTTTAAACGCAAAAATAGCATCTAAATACGGAAGTAGTACAACCCAGAGTATACTGTGACACAAGTACTAACAAATATTAGTAAACTTTGGACTTCTCAAAGAAAGCTCGGAAGGTACTTTCCTGCTGTCAAGAGCATACAGAAATCAGGGAACTTGGTGAGAGTGGTGGATACAACATAAACTTCTCTATTGCATAACAGAATTCAGACTGTTCTTCTAGCTATGTGAATTTGATCTCTGTAATGTGTTAGGACGGGAAGTTTCAGAAGGCTTGCAAAATTAGCAAAACTCTCCCCGAAATCATGAGGGTTACCAAGGGCTCTTGAAAACGTGAGGAAATGACCCTCCTTCCCTCTTGGTGGAAATCTCCTGTGCACAGACCGTGTCTGATTGTCTGAGGCAGACTGCTTTTGAAATATAATTCTCCCAGAGAGGTGGGCAGGGCTGGCAATGTCAGCCAAAAAGGGTTTGACCCTGCTATGGGTATAATATAAATGCTATTTGTGCTCTAAAAATTGTCGTTAGGATTTGCCTGGAGCAAAAGAGGAAGAAAGAGAGTCAGGATATAGGAGGAGGAAATGGAATGTGTAGCTAATCGCCTCCATGAACAATGACTCCTTTGCCCTGAGACCAGAACTAGATGGTGCTCAGCCTCCATTACTGAACATTTTTGTTGAAGATTTATGGAAGAATCTTCATCAAACAGGAGGAAATAAAGAACAGACTGTCAGATCCTCACGGAATCCAGACTTTTTATAACCATGAAGGCTTGGTGAACCCCTGAAACTATTGCCCTGAAATAACCTTTAAACCTTAAACCAAAAATATCCCTGAAATTCTTCTTAAAACCAAACAATAGTTTAACTTAACTAATAAATAATGTCTGTGTTGAGCATTGTCCTCTTCTAAGATCCGTCTGTGTGGGATCAAATTGACAAAAGCAACTTGAATGATTAGATAGGAAACTTAGCAGGCAGTGAGTTTATGTGAATGAGGGAAGAACAACTCGGAAAAGGAGGATAAGAATGGGCGTACAACCCAAAGAATGTAGTCAATGTCCTTGAATTGAACATGTAGACACTGTTGAATTGGTGTATGTTTTGTTCTGTATATTCTCAACAACAACAACAAAACATAAATTATAATTTTTTTAAAAAAAGTGGTTAGGACCAAATGCACCCCTCAAACCTAATACATGAACCTTAAGACTATACATGAAAGCACTTGATATGGTGCTCCATGAATGCTCGTTTCCTTCCTTCCTTCCGGGTAACAGGGGTAGCATAAGTGCAGCCATGGAAGAGACTGCTAAGAGCTGTTCATGAGAAGACAGTAGATGTCAGGCAATCAGGCTCTTAAGATGCTACTGCCCACCCCAGATGTCAAGTGGCCACCAAGGAAGCTGGAACTAGACCCCAACTTAGATCACAGGTAAAGATGCTGAGATTGACTTAAGGATAGAATCAGCCTTCACAGCTGGGGGTTTACCGGATACACACATTGCAGATAACCACCACAAGTAAAAGGCCAAGATAGGAAAAAGGTTTCCAGAGGATCTCCAGAAAGGGTGTAAAAGGTTACCAAAAGTCTGTGCAGAGCTGTCAGGAGATATGGGAGGGGAACCTTTGGATGCCAGATTGGAAAGACCTTGTCCCTGACGTGAGGGCAGTATTCCATCCCTGGAGACCAGATTAAGAAAGAGATTCTGGAAGAGCCCTATTTGGCCATAGGTCTAACCTGAATATACATGTCTTTTAGGAACTAAATAGAAGGAAGTCAGAAAAGTGTCTGGTCTAGTCTAACACTTTAATATAAACCTGTACTTCTTTTCTTGATCCTTATAACTTCCTAAATGTCTGCCAGGCTTGTTAACTCTTGCTCACTCCTATTGCCTTCAGGTAGTGGGTCAGGGTAAAACATCGCCAGTGAAAAAGAATCTATAACATAACTGCTTAAAGACAAAAAAGATTTCGAGGGTCCCAGGACCTCAGCTTCTGCATTTGTAAAATAGAGTGGTTGGACTGCATTATGGTCTCCAGGGAGAGTATGAGTCTCCTCCACTTCTTTGCCCTTCCTTTAGTGCCCTTTCCAAGTAGAAGAACGTGGTCTGGAAGCCACCTAGTTCATATGTACTAGACTCTAGGGGTTCCCCTTCCCAGCCACACTTTGAATAGTGGAAGCAGATATGAAAAGAAGAAGAAAACAGTCTGGCTTCTGGAATCCTGTGAGAATTTTAAAAGGTAACGTCCTGGGATGCAGAACAGGCACAGAGGCGTAGTTACATGGGTCCCCATGTAATCTTAGGTCAAAAGAAGAGCATGGTTTCATAAAACAAGGAGTTTAACAACAAACAAGCCTGGATTTTTCTGCAGAAAGAAAGGCAATATCTTAACACAAATGAGAATCCAACCTTTTTCCGCTGTTGCTTTTGCTTTTCCCTGAATTCTTCCATTTTTCTGGCTTCTTCTCTTAGAGTCTGTGCAAGCTGAATGTGACATTGTGCAACATTGTCTACTTCTGCAAAAAGAATTTTTAAAAGATATAATAAACAAAGTCTACATATGTCTGAATTCAAATATGCAAAACTGTTAAAATACTGGAGCAAATGGTAAAATTAACATCACTTCATTCAGTTACCATTATTTAATGAGCTCTTCCATGTGCCCACATTGCTTCAGGCACCAAGGCCAGGGCTATAAAATCTTTAGCTTCACCTCCCACAACTCACTCTGCCTAGACCTCTCTAGTATTCACTCACTCTTTTAACAGGTATTTATTAACCTAGTTTGTGTTCATGGCTGGAGAGGAAACAGGCAAGGTCTCCATGCTCCTGGAGCTTACTGTATTTTTAGGCAAATAACGTATCAATGTGCTCAATATTTATGTAGGCGCATCATATGCAAAAACATAGTATGTCCCAGGAGGCATTACTATACCCACTGCAATTGCACATTTAATCCTTGATTCTTATTACATGGCCTCTAAGGTCCTTTCCAATTCTAACATCCCATGAGCCTGAGAGTTTATAAGAAAAGTCATATACCAAAAAGTTCTCAGTAGTTATCTCTCGGTAGAAAGATTATTAGTAATTTTCTCTCTTATTTTCTAAGATTTTTCCAATGATCATGGTTATCTTTATAATAGAAAAATTAAGCTGTACATTTTACTTTTTCTGAAAAAAAAAAATTAAAGCATATCATTAAAGTCAAAAAGACTAACAAATCCAAGCTAAGAAAAAATCCTAAATTTGTGTGTGGCAAAATAACCTTGAACAAGGTCAGAGGATACATAACAAACTGGGAAAATATTTCTGACTTATATAGCAAAGGGTAAACAGATGTATTAAAAGAACTTTACAAAAGAGAAAAAAGTATATTTTTATATGAAAAAATAAAGAATTTGAAATTCACAAAAGATTGGCTACAAAGGCCCCATAAACATTTGAAAATATACTCAGCTTCATAAATATTAAAAGAAATACAAAATTTAAGAACCCAGAAAGATTTTTTTTTTTAACCTTTCAGTTTTGCAGAATTTGTAAAGCATGGTAATTCTTGGTATTAATAAGTGTGGCAAAAATGGGATTATTGGGGAAAAAGAAAATCAATAAAACCTTTCTGAAGGAAATTTGGCAACACAAATTTAAAAATTAGATATAAAAGAATTAGCTCTAAAAGAACTGAAATAGAAAGATATCTGTGATATATCATTAAGTAAAAAATCAAAGTGTAGAACCATATGTATAGTGTAATCTCATTTATATACAAACTCAGTCATGTCTGTGTGTGTGTGTATGTGTACAATACAGAAAGAGGGATAGAGAGAGTTATAAACATGTAGAGAAATCTCTGGAATGTTATACATCACATTTCTAGCAGTGGTTACCATTGTGAATGAAAGGGGAATTTAGGCTGAGAGGAAATGAGACTTAGATTTTACTCTAGACACTTCTGAATTGCTTTGATATTTTGTAATAAACATGTATCAATTTTAATTTTAAAAACTATTTTAATAATATGCTTTGACTCAACCACATAGATTCTGAGCCACTGACATAGTATAAACCTATTTTTATAATATGTATGTATTTATACATTTATATGTTCAATTGCTCATATGCAAGTTTAAGTTAAAGCTGAAGAAAAATAAAACAAGGCCATGAGAACAAAAATATGACCTCAAGTGTATTGCACCTAAATTTAATAACTACTTGAAGAATAGATTTGACGCACGCAATACCAATGACCAAAGACCAGACGAGTTGTGGGATGACATCAAAGATATCATACATGAGGGAAGCAAAAGGGCATTAAAAAGATAGGAAAGGAAGAAAAGACCAAATGGGAATCAGAAGAGACTTGCTCTGGATTGGAGAGTAGCTAAAGTGAATGGAAGGAATGATGAAATAAAAGAGCTGAAAAGATTTCAAAGGGCAGCTCAAGAAGTAAAGTACTGGTAAAAGTGCAAGGAGGCCACATCTCCTGACCTTCTCTAACCCCACAAGAGGAAGACAGGATTACCATCAGTAACCCAAGGCCTATTCCTG